ATTAATACTCAACATTACTAATTTAAATGTATATAACATTTTATGGTTTACAAATCAAAAATTATTTTATTTAGTGTTAATACTCAACATTACTAATTTAAATGTATATAACACTTTATAATTACAAATCTCTTTATATTCTCTATCTCAAAAACGTATAATTTTTCCCTGTTCTTGCAAATACTATGCAGATAAGAAAGTTAACTGCAAGGAGAAGAAATGGAGATACCATGATGGAGGGAAAATCAAGAAAAATTAGTCACTTTGGGACAAAGTATGTTTACTATACATAATCTAAGCTACCTAGTGAACAGAATCCTATGTGGCTGTCCAACAAATATTAGTTGAAATAAGTACTAAGTAGTGAGCTGGTTTATTTTTGTACCCACAGGGACTAACAAAGATATGGGCCATGCTCAGAAAATCTTTCCAAACAGCCTTCTAGCATGTACCAAAATAAGTAATGAAAAGCCACATTTCTATATTATATTATTTTTCTTATTAGTCATCATTATTATATATTATTTCCTGTATCATCAGAAAGCTTATTTCTATTTAAAAAACATGGATGGATATTAAATGAGTAGAGAGTAATTTATGATAAAAGTGAATTACAATAAATAAGGTGATTAGTAAGGCAAGATAATCATTTATCAAAAAATTGTTTCTCACCATACACTTTCTTTAAATCAGGGATGGGGAACCTTTCTTCTGCCCAGGGCCATTTAAATATTTATAACATCATTCCAGGGTCATACAAAATTATCAACTTAAAAATTAGCCTGCTATATTTGGTCAAACATTTAATTAACTCACCCTTAATGTCTTGGCAGGGCCAGACCATATGATTTCGAAGGCCTTCTATGGCCTGGGACCTGCTGTTCCCCATCCCTGCATTAAATAATCAACTACCATAATTATTTCTTAGGTAAAGATTCAGAAAGCAATATCAATAAAATATGCAACCTTTCAAAAATCTGTGGCTGTTGCTAACTCTTTTTATATTATAAACAAGAAATCATCCTTTATTAAACTTCATCTGTAACTTCACTTTGATTATAGAAAAGTTGAGTCTATACTGAGCCTAAGCCATAATATTTTGAATATATCATTCATTACTTCATTTATTATTTCAGAAAATATTTATTGAGCACTTGTTTCCTAAGCACTATGCTAATTAATTGTTCCTTACTTCATGCCCTTATCTTTTCATAATCCACTTCTGAAACCTTACAAATTTCAATAGTAATATCATATGGCTCTGAGGGTAGCAGAAGCAATATTAATATAACCAAAAAAATCTATCTATATAAACTAGGCCACCTGAGTAACAAAATAATTTTATTATAAGTTATTATATTTTTAGAATACAGTTAATCGAAATTTAAATATGATTATATTTTCCAGTAAAATCAAACATCATTTTGAAAAAAATAATAAGATCATTAACAATGTCAAATATTCACATCTTCATTGACATTATATGCCAATCAAATTTTAAAAGTAAATGAAATGGCATTACACATTTTGGCAAGACTGGAGTACCTTATAATGTGTTCTATCAACTTTCCATCTTATTGTTTAATTCTATTAATTATTGAGGAAAATATCATTTTTATAAAAAATCAGTACATGGTTTATACATGGTTGGCCTTGAAGGTTTACAAATATTTTGATGGCAGTTTAATAGATACTTTAAATTTCTAACTTTTATAGATAAATGACATAAAACATATCATCTATGATTTGTTTCATTTTTAAGTCAGTTATATTCATAACACAAAGTCAAACAACAGTAATATTCTATACTTCTACAAAACTGTTTTCCTTTTAAATTCCCAATCTTGAAAAAAGCAGAAGAATTGATTTGGAGAAAATCAAGATAAATTCAAAGGTACCTAAATAACCTCATAAAGTAGCCTCTGAATATTCCCAAATCTAAGTATCATTATTAAGAATACTTTTGCTTCTGTCACTGGAAAACATCAATTATGATCCTTATAACTTTCATTTCCTTTCCTTCCCTTCTTTCATCCTTCCTTGCCCCCTTCCTCAGTCTCTCCCTTTCTCTCCCTCCTCTCTACCTCTCTCTCTCTTTGCTTTTTAAATATCTAACTGCTCTTTTTCTTCCCATTCCATGTGCCCAACATTATGGGAAGGAGAGGTAAACTTCTGTGGTTAAAAGAAAAACACCAGCCTTGTGTTAATTTTCATGGTATGTTCAAAATGTAGAAATAAGTGAATTGTCTCCATATCAGCAATGTGCTAAGTCATAACTTGTAGGCAATGAGAGAAAAAGGAGTGAGATAGAAAGTTTTCATTGGACAGATTTAGACTAAAACTGGGTATGAGTAGTTGGTGCAGGAATGAACAGGGCTAACCAATCAGGACGTTTGGTAAGCCCAGGGAACCAATGTCCATTTTCCATTTCCTAGTCAAGGACATGCTCTCAAATCAAGGGAGAGTTTGAAGATAGCAAATTCAAGAGGAAGGGTATCTAGAGGCAGACACTGAGTTCAAAGTGATTGGCTAGGCAAGACCATGAGAGGAGGTTCAGAAAGGAGGCCAGCAAAGAGCTGTGGAAGGTACTGGGGCTGGTATGAACATCTAGAAAGTCAATCCATTATGCATAAGAGGATTGTAAGCCTGCATTTGATCAGAATTGGAAAGAAAAACCCATTCTTGTAGACTAAAACTCTTTGACCATAAAACAAACAACAGTGGGTGTGTAATTTAATAGCATGGCCCCTTACGACTTGAGAGTGATCACTGTAGAACCTTTTCGCAGGGAAAATGTGTAATTGGTTCTAGATCAATAAGCAATTTCTTCCAGGAGCAAAAGCTCTTGTTTCCACTTTTATTTATTTATTTTTTGAAGTAGCAGGGCTCTTAAATCAGAATGGAGCAAATACATTTAGGAAGTTGAGATTATGCTAAACAGCAAGAATCCTTACTGCACTAGTTAAGTTTATCTCAACTGATCATTTATTTATGACACCATAAAAATCCAGATGCTTTCAGTTTTGATTGTTAGATATTTGCTGAAAGGCAGCTGAAATTACTTTCCCAGAGTCCCATTTTTAAAAAATATATATTTTATTGATTTTTTACAGAAAGGAAGGGAGAGGAATAGAGAGTTAGAAACATCGATGAGAGAAACATCCATCAGCTGCCTAGGGGATGTGCCCGCAATCAAGGTACATGCCCTTGACCGGAATCGAACCTGGGACCCATGAGTCTGAAGGCCGACGCTCTATCCACTGAGCCAAATCGGCTAAGGGCCCCAGAGTCCCATTTTTGACAACTGCATTTTGAATGAAAAATTTACAACCGTAAATTTAAAACAGTTCAATAATGGTCATGCTGAAGTGTTTTGTTTTGTTTTCTTTCCAACATTAACAATTAATTCAGCTCTTGGTTGTCAGTGTAAACCCCCTACTCAGTGTATTTGAAATTCTATAAGTATAATAGAAAACTAAGATTAAAAAAATAAACAAACTCCTAGATACTGAGAACAAATTGATGGTTGCCAGATGGGAGGGCAGAGGAGGGTGAGGACTGTCTGAAAAAGATGAAGCAATTAAGAAGTATAAACTGGCAGTTACAAAATAGTCACAAGGATGTAATTTACACAATAGGAAATATAGTCCATATTGTAATAACTATATATGGTGTCAGGTGGGTACAACACTTATTGGGGGTGATCATCTGATAAGTTACATAAATGTCTAATCACTATGATATATACCTAAAACTAATAAAATATTGAATGTCAACTGTAATTAATTAATTAATTAATTAAAATAAGTGAATAAAATGTTGAAAATTAAGGTCCTGTAGAAATCTGTGATAACATATTTTCGTGTTTGGTGATTTTCCTAACATTTTAGGATGAGTGCCTTAGGGGAAGAACATGTTGACCTAATCAAATATCCTTTAGGCACAGGTAGTGGTAAAGGGAGAACTTACAGGTATAGACAAAAACAAAACCAACTTACATGATCGCATGAGGCAAAAGAGATAAACTATACCTCAAGGATTAAAAGGGGCATGAAGAGATTTATATGCTCTGGAACCTCCCAGAAGATACGTTAGACCAAGAACTATAATGATAAGAACCCTTGACAGGGTTTTTAAATATGTGACATGGTTCTTATTTTGACATATCAGTAAAACATTAACATCTCTAAACAATGAAAGCCTGCCTGTGCTTCTTTGCAAATATTGCAAGGAAATGAGGAGATGCAAAATTACAACCGTACAAATAGGTAACAACGCAGAGATGTAGGGAAGAGTTCCCCAGCTCTACTCAGTGATGGCAACGTTAAAAGGTAAAGAAAGCTTTTCATTTATAAACTATTATTTGCTATGTACTATGTGCTGACTAAATTCTTGTGGGAGGCTTAGAGATTGGAGAAAAAGGAAAGGTCCCATGATATAAATGGCACTGTATTTTCTTGACACTTATGTATTAAAAATAAGTGAAAGATATCACAGAAACAAAGTTTTTGCCATTTTCTTTCACTGCCCCGAATATCTTTAAAGTTTCCCTTTCTCCCATCCATGGCATGTACCTTCAGACCATTCCCTATCCAGGCTGGAAAAGACATAAGGACACTGGATCCATCTCTTTTGATGTCACCGGTATCATAACCCCCGGCTTCCAGCCAGAAGAAACGACATCTACAGGGCTGCCTAAAGGCACTAAAACACACCGAAAATAAACCTTTGTAGACAGATAACTGAGAGGAATTCACACTTAAAACAAAAGCACAATATTTTCTATTATGAAGAACATTTTTTATCAATTATAATAGTAATAGGTATAAGACTTTATTATTCTTGAATGTATTTATATTTTCTGTACCAAAAGTTCTGGTTGCTGGGGAGAGAAACTTAAAACCAACAAACTAATTATAAGTCACTTACCAAACAAACAAACAAACAACAAAACCCTAACAGTGAAAAGCAAAGCTGAATCTTATTTTTAAAGTACTTACTATATGCAGCTCTAGGTAGTCCCCCAGGCCAGAAGAACTGTCCACACGCACCAATACAGCTTCTTTCTGAACAGTGCTAAACCCTATGGCCAGTCTGTCTGCTCGTGTACTTGGCCGATCATTAGGAGGCCACTTATATGTGATTTGTCCACCACCTTTGCTAAAGATATACGTTGTCCCAGCTGGAAAACAAACAAACAAAAAAACAATTAGTCCAAATATGTGAGGTATATACCTTTTCCCATATTTGTTAGGTTGACATATCAGTAAAGTATTAAATTTATATTATGGCCACATTAAAAACAAACAAACAAACAAATAAAAACTTTGGCAAAGCAAATAAGCAAATAGCAGATTTCAATCACACATTCTCAAGTAAAAGATTTGTTGTATTTTTTTTTTAAAGAAATATCATGGCAGCTCAGTTTTTAATACACTCATTAAATCTCCCAGCATGTGTTTCAGAACAAACGGGAGATTATTGCTTTTTCAAAGGAGTTGGACAAGCATAGAATGTAATGGGGTTTTATTTCTTTCTGCCAGTTTTTAAGAAATAGTGTAGTAGGAAACATTGACTTTGGACGCTTGTGAAAGGAGCAGAAACATATATCAACTTGGTCTTGAAACAAGGGCTGCATGCAGATGTGACCGGGCCATGCAGCACAGTGAAGCAAATCGCGACAAATACGCTGCGAATCAACTTTTATGGGGAACGTGTCTGTTCACATATGACAGATGATAACTAATGGACGAACAGCCGTAAGCCCCAGTGGTCATGTCAAGAAAATACAGATATTAGATCCCATCCATAGAAGTCAAGTCTTATTTAACACAAGCAACATCTAGTAGCTGTCACACTACCCAGCATCATGGAAAGACCCATTCTTTTTTCCCCCACAAAGTGAATACTAGTCTTGCAGCACTAAGAATAATGTCATAGCCACATGTGGTGAATGTTCAGACTTTACTTTCTAGTAGTTATGTCAGTAAATTATCCATCTTACTTTAAAAACAGGTGTGTGTTTTTTGCTTTGTTTTGTTTTTTTCTAACAGGTTTACTAAGCATCCAAGGCATTAAAGTCTTTTTTATCTTTGCTCCCCTGGAATTTATCTCACTGGGTGCAATAAAATCAATTGTTTCAGTCAGGATATTTGGAAGAGATATGCAAAGATACATACAATGCAAAGGAGATCTTCCTCCACACACAGAAGTATTTATTGTTACCACAGGAACAGAACTTAGGGTACAATTTATAGAGGGATGTGTAGCCTTCCAACAACAAAAAATGCCACTACATATTTAATGTGCACCTACTCTGTGCTGAACATGATAAGGAGAGCAGTAAGAGTGAATATTAAAATTTAGGCCACGAAACATCTTGTGTCTATGGAAAAATAGCTTCTACCAAGAGAAAGGCTTATGTGTAAAAGTTGTATGTTCATCGGTATGTTTTCAAGATATCTGCCTATCAAATTTCTATGATTACCAAATTTACCAATTAAATGAAGTTGACACTATCACACTCATGTATATTTAATTAAATAGCTAAAAATATCATTTTTTTCCCTTTAGTGTATTGTGGAGCCAGCTTTTCTCTGCATTATGTCTAAGTCATTTCCATGGTCCAGTGGTCGGCAAACTGCAGCTCGTGAGCCACATGTGGCTCTGTGGCCCCTTGAGTGTGGCTCTTCCACAAAATACCACGTGCGGGCGTGCGCACAGTGTGATTGAAACTTCGTGGCCCATGTGCAGAAGTCTGCATTTTGTGGAAGAGCCACACTCAAGGGGCCAAAGAGCCACATGTGGCTCACGAGCCGCGGTTTGCTGAGCCACAGTTTGCCGACCACTGGACCCTTGGGAAACTAGAAGCACTGTGCACTCTGCCGGCTGTGCCTGACTGCTTTAAAATGCCTTGGTACATGGTCCTGACCCAAGAAGCGTGTCAGGACGATATTGAATGTAAAAGTGATAGAACAGAAATTTGTGGAAAATGCAACAGTAGAGAGGCTGTGCATGTCTCCATTGCATTTTTTGGATACTAATAAATAAACGTAGTTTCTCTCTCTCATATGAGAATAGGTAGGTTATATTTAAAGGCACTAGCGACTAGCCCCTGTGCAAGCGAAGAAAGTTCAGAATATACAGATCTGTGTACCAGGAACGCCATAGCCTTCAGGACCATTAGAAGACTGTTCATCTGGATATTAATAAGGAAGCACTATTTGATCAGTATTTTCCTGCTTGGTAATCTTTGTAGGTGATTAAGTGTTCTATGCTTCAGTAACGCCTACATCGATAAAAATAGGACAAGAACATTTAAAAGTGAAGATTTCTTTAAAACACAGATGTGGAGATTTCGTGACCTCTGAATGCTGGTACCTAATTTTATTTTCTCCCTTTTAGTTAACTTTGTTCTCTAATGACTATGTATTTCATGTGAAGTAAGAAAAACATTCAAAACCAGAGATGCTACTTGACAATATAAAACGTATGAGAATCCAGGTGTTTCTCAGACTCATGCAAGGAAGGCAGTGTTGCAAAGCAGCAAATACCTTACATTATCTTACAACATTATCTTACAACAATTTTTCTTTTATTTTCTACTTCTGCGTGGAAAGTAAGGCCAGCATGGCTCCCCTGTTGTATTTGAGGAAATTTAGCCATAAGGTTTGGCTTGTTATCTCATGTTGCAAACTTGGTTACCTAGTAGACCTGGTAGGAAACCTAGTATCCAGGCTCTGACTCCCGTGTGAGATTTTTTTTTAATTACAGAAATGTTTCTGTTATGATAACAAGACGGTCAAAAAAAGTTAATTGGATATGTCAGTCTGAATTTATCAAGGCCAACTGTTATCATATTCTAATGTCTCATATCCATAAAGTGACATTTGCACTTCATGATCATATACTGTCCTTTCACCTCACAATGCTTTCAAAAACGAAAAAAAAATCACATATAAATGTGAAATGACAGGACATTTAATATATGTAGGTTAACATTTGGTTTAGGGTACACTTCCCAAACTTATGGAACTATGAAAGTTTCTCGTTGCTCGGTTACAGGAGTTGAGGATAATAATTTAAAGTCTTATATTTTCAGCAAGATAAATGTCACAACACAAATATCATTACTCAAGATTTGATTTCAACCTTTCCCAATAAGTGTTACAGCTTGGCCACTAGCATGCTATTAGCTACTCTGTCCTCCTTACAATGACTTTCCAATTTTTTAGGTTTCATCCAAACAAAGCAAAAGCAGTTGTGAAACCCTGGGTCAAACAATACAATTATTTCTAGTGTCCTTTTTCTCCAGATAAATCTGAAAGGCAATCTCTCTTCCTTTTTCTTCTGTATGCACAACAATACACTGAATTGTACTCATTGGCACAGTTCCATAATAAGCAAAGGAATTAGATGTCCAGCCATGACACAGTTCTCTCCTACCGACCTCTGTAAGCATCTTGGCTTCCTTTTTTCTAAAAAAAAAAAAAAAAACACTTTGCATCAAAGTCTACAAAAATCTCTGTGCTCTTAAAGCCCTCATTCCATCAAGATAAGAAATTGCCATCTACTTTCCATTTTGGTAACCTTGAGAATATGAGCATATTCCAACAATAAAATATAGTGGGTCAGATGACTAACATTTCCAAATCTATGTCCTTTAAATTCCATCTTTCTGAACCAAGGGCAATGATGTACTTACTGAAGCAGAATCATTAAGCCATTAAGAATGTAAACTCTGGACTCAGGCACAACTGAGCTCAAATTCCAACTGTATCATTTACCAGCTACATGATCTTGACAAAACTATTTATTCTAAGTCTTTTGTTTCCTACCTGAAAAAAAAAATCGAGCATAATAACACTATTATCTCATGGAACTTCTATCAGGATTAACTGACATACTGCACAGTAACACTTTAGTCCCACTTCTGGCATATAGTAAGTGCCCAATACATTTTACAGAAAACAGATGAAGTGTTTGTATGTATGTCTGTGGTGAAAAAATAAAATGACTAATATTGCAACATTGTTGCTTTATCTTGCTATAAGAACCTTCAGAAAAGTTTAACTTATTTCAAAGTTATGTTCAAACCAAATGCCTTTTAAGAAATGACTTTCCTAGACCCCCATTTTTATTAGTCTTTTCAGTATTTCACTCCTTGGATTAGCACTTTTTTTCATAAAAACCCATTATATCATCCATTACTTACATCCACTAATAATTGACAATGGGAAGGATATTAAATTGCATCAAATGGGAGCTTTCATGAGAAAAATAGTATTAGTTCATCACCATAAAGCATCTAGGATGGGAAGAATTATAGCTTGATGCAAAAAACTGACTGACTATTAAATAAAGAAGTAAGCCTATACAAGATAAATTGCAATCTAGCTTTATTTTTAAATTTTTATTTTTATAGGAACATCTTTTATGTTATAAGTGAATTCAATGTGCAGCAACAGTGCATCTTAATCAGTTGCAAGCATTTTATCGACATGGTGGAATGTTTTGCCGTCATTATTATGCCTGCTTCTATATGCAAGCACTGACACTTCAGTGCCATGACTACTAATGGATTTATTGCGGATTAACCTTGACATCCCTCACATCACTGAATGTATGGGTGACTCAAACCCAAAGTGGTTTTCAGCAATCTCCACATTTAAGTAGTGCAGCAAGTCTACACTCCTCGCTCCAAATTGATTAACAAAGCTGGCTCCATCAGATGCAAATTTAGCAGTATCCATGTACTTTACACTGCAAAAAGTGTTTGTACAATTTACACATGGGGTCTTATTTCTAATGTCTGAACTGCCTGTGATTTTAGAAGAAGAAATATCTTTAGACTTTATTTAACATATATTTACATAGGGGACTCTCTTCCCTTCTTCTCTTTCTTGCCAACCATTTCCTCCCTAAATGTGCTCACTTCTGCCTCACGTGTTCCTGAAAAAGCTAGTATATTCCCCCAAACGAATTGAACGTTTCTGAAAAAGAAAACCAATAAGCATGTGCAGGTATGGCTTGATTAGTGGTTGCTCTGGATCCTTGCTTCATGAACAATAATATAATTAACTTCTGAATAGATTAGCTTCTAATTCTTAACATAACTAAATGAATAAAAGATTCTTTTCTGAAATCCTATAATTCTTCAAAAGTCATTGTGTAGCCAACATG